CAAAAATATCTTCTTCTTCCCAAAGCTTTTCTCAAAATAAACCTTGAATCTAATGATACTAAGATGCAAGTTTGCCGGAGCAACCATGTGAAACCCCCATCCACACTCCCTTGAACCCCACAATGATCTTCTCCCTCTTAAACTCCACTCTTTTCTTTCTCCCTTTCAAGGCTCTCTCTTTAAGTTTTCCACAAAAGAATGAAGACTCAATCCATGCCAAAGACACTTACAATATCTTTGGAGAAAGCTTAAATAGAGGGCTTAAAAAATCCTAAAAAATTATTTCAGACATCAAAGATCGTACATTACAATCATAGGATCGTCCAGTACGATAAGCATAATTTAACCTATTAGTATACACTATACGACCACCAGTTAGTACAATACAAATAATTTGATTTGTCTATTCGTACTATACGAACATTTCACTTTATTTATTAGTAATGTACAATCATCAATAAAAACAACTAATCATACAGTATAATTAGTTCAACCGAAATATAGTTCATCCATGGCGATTCATGGGATGATCAAATTCATCTCTATTGATCATACAGAATGATTCAGTTTGATCAAAGTATTAAAATTAAACAGATTCGATTGATTAATCACATGATTAAATTAGGCAATATTTTAAACACTATATAATACAATTAGGTTCGCATAGTACGAATAAATTAAACTAACTTTTCAAATTCAATTTTTTGCCTAATTTAATGAACAGTGTGGTTTCTAATTTTAATAGATCATCCAATACAATGTGGTGTTCGTAGGTGTTCGTACTGTACGATTAGTTATATTTCAAAAAAAAATAAAAAATAAATAAATAAATAATTTTAATTAATTTTCTAATACCATATCATATATATAATACGATCCATATCATATAGTACGATGAACAAAAAAAATTAAAGTATTTAAAATCATTTTTGCTCCCCTTGTATGCATGTGCATTGTCACCAGGCTAACATACACTCTTACGGACTTGACTCAAGAAATTAAAAATAAATAAATAAAAATTACATACTTTTTTAGCATAACCTATTCTACCCCATCTTGAGCTCTGAATCTTCAATTCAAATAACAGTGCATGTTGTATGAGAAATGTTAGTTAACACACAAACAAATATATACTACAAATACTAGAAGAAATAAATAAGTAATCAATAATATTAGTTATCATCAAAACATAAACTCAAGAGCCTGAGTTGCAACATATATATTCAATCAAATACAATGAATTCTAAAAATAACTTCGCTAAGTTATACTTATATATCATGGAGTCTTCATTTATATAATTAAATATTCAACTTTGTTACACTTTAGAATATCTCGAAGTAAAAAATCTTTCTAGTAAGCGTAATAAAATCAACTAATCATCTTTATGGTTATTAATAATGATAAGCCTTAAATAATAATAAGTTATTAGATGACACCAAATAAACTATTATCATCAAATTAAATAGTGAGATGAACTTTAATGTTTATAGTGTTCAAATTCAAGTAATAAGTTCTAGAAAATTTTATTTGATGCATATTCAAGTTTAAAACACACTTATATTGTTCTTTTGAAAATACAAACCAATAAATTTAAGCAATCCCTCTATTTATGTTTCCTAGAATTAAAGCTATTTTATATCATTTTATAGATGTTATTTAAATCTTTTATTTATATACTGCAAATATGAGCATTGACTTCAGTAATAAAATTTTGGGGCAAGCCTACAGAGCATGTGAATTCTCACTCCGTGTGATTTATGAAATTTCAAGAAAAGGGAAAGGTCTAAGTGAGTAGAGGTTGATAAGGGTAGGGCCTTTGGGAGCTAGCTCAACAAGGATATTTTGTTAGTTCGGTTTTATATTTTGATGTAGAATAAATTTATACTAGATTAATTACTTATATATTTTTTCTTGAAATGAAATTTTGATGATTACCTATATTATTTAACTATTTTGGATTACTTAGCTAGCTCTAGTATGTTCTATATTGTAGATGAGATAGTTGGGTTTAAGTTTTAATTCTTCGATTAGATTTGGAGCATGACATCCGACGTGTTAGTCTCTTAAAAAAAAAAAAAACTAATAATAAACTATGTTTTTATTTTACTAACATGAGGTAACATAATCAACAACTTTTTCTTGATATAACGCTATATTTTATTTTGGGAAATCGTTGAGATATGTATGTTAAGTATATTGGTTTAATGTGGAGTGAAGTATTTATTAAAGAAAAGTTGAGTTATTTCCCATCATGCATCCCTAGATCTTGTTCTCAAAGAGTAATATTGTCAAATCTTTGCCTTTTGTTTTAGGTGTTGTTTGGTTTGAAGTAAATGAGTGTAAAATATTTCAAATATAGAGAGGTTTTGAAAATATAACTGTTTGGTTTGAAGTAAAAAAATAGAAATAAACTTTTAAAATATTTGGAGTTCACCATCAAGTTTACTTTTGAAGTATTTAAAAACCATTAAATTAGATAGATTTTCAAATACACTTTAGAGGTTCTCTGTCCTGCCGACCACCACCCTCTGTTGCCAACAATTAGGTTAGACAGATTTTCAAATACACTTTAGGTTCTCTGTCACACCGATATCGCTAATCGCCACCGCCGCCTTCACAGCTGCTCGCCGCTGGTTTCCACTACTGCTGGCCACCACTCACCACTTACTACTTGTCATTGGTCATCACCATTGCTACTATTGTTCATCTTTGTTACTGCATGTTGCTCATCTCTAGCTAGTGTCACTCATCATCTGGCGCCACAACCGCTTACTAGCCACTGGCCACAATTATTATACGAGTTTACACTGCCTTCTTTTAGTTCAACTCAAATAAAAATTAATCATATTCATCTATTTACACTCATTCTATTTCACTCCGCTTTCCTTTTTCATCCAACTAAATAACCCCTTATAAAAAAAAAATAATTTTAACTTACTATTACATTGATGTGATTATGAAAAATGGTTACTACCTCTTCAAATTTCCTAACAAGCTTAAATAAAATTTCAGTATCTTGACCAAACTGTGGGAAGCAGAGAGTAAATTCTCCATTGCTCAACAAATCTATCAATTGAGAGTAAAAATATTGAATCCTTCTCTGTGCCTCTGAAAGATTCAAAATCAATGGTGTAACGTTAGCCTTTTCCTCTTCTAGAGAGCTTCGAGTCAACATAGGATCTAAGCGATAGACCCGTTCAAATGTTCTCGAGTATCGCGCCTTCGTTTACTTTAATTGACTTTACCAATTTTAACCCTAAAATTCGCTCTATTTGCCGGATTACCACTCGCTGCGGTCCGGTCCGGTCCGGTCCGGCTTTCCAAACAAAGAGCAGTTGCGAACCCGGCTTAAGATTCACTTGAAATTATTCTAACGGATCTCAAGTCGGAAGGGAACTGATTAGCCATCGGTGGATTCCATTCGTCTTATATTTGTCTCATTTATTGTAAGTTTGATTTATATTAAAATTTGTTTTTTTTAGAACGGGCATTCATCCATTGTCACCCCCGAAAAGGTGCTTGATGGCATGACTAATCCTCGGCTGACCTATAAGATGCACCCACTCTAGGGGTGTCAATATTGGACACGACATGAAAATTTCGGGTTCGGTTTGACCCGAACCCGAACATGATCGGGTTCAGGTTAGAGTTTCCGATCCGTTTAAAAAATCGGGTCGATGTCGGGTTGACTCGAAAAATCAGAAATGACCATGATTGATCCGCTGACCGAGCTGCTTGTGGTCAATCACGCATCACCCCTGCTTGCCAACGTCAGGCTGCACGCCACGTGACAGCACCTTCCCGCCCCTGCCCCGCTTGCCCGAATCGCCTTGTGTTGCAGTTGTCGCCTGCATGCATGTGTGTCTTGAGCTTTGCGTGACCGGCTTCGGCTGACTGCATCCAGGCCTGCGTGCGGGCGAGCCCAGCTTGCCGCGTCCAGGCCAGCGCCCGCGTTCCCTCATCCAGGGACCTCCAAGTCCGACTGTCCGACCACCCATGTCCGGTACCCGCTTTCGGGTTTTGGTTCGGGTTGACCCGAACAGTGTCGGGTCAATTTCGGGTTCGACCCAAACCAGACTCGTGACCCAAAATTAACACCCTAACCCACCCCAGAAACCTCTATGCACGCACTTGTTTGGGCATTACTTAAGATGCACTGCTGCTTGAGGGGAATCGAGCATGGGTTGGGGGGTTCCCAACCGTACTCGCCCTCCAACCAAGCTAAGTTACAGTGGATTATTTTTGTAATATTTGATAATTTCACTTTCATGATATTTTGACTAAAAATAGTCATTCTATATTAAATATTCTTTATGAATGCGCAGTGTAGTTATAACGTTAGATGACCGTTGGTTTGCTATTAATGCGTTTAGCTTTCATCGGACGGGCATTTGCTATCCCAAATTTGCCAACAATGCAAAGAGTTTGCGTGAGGAATCTATAATTTATCTCTAATAATTTATTTTAATCACTAATAGAATAAAAATATATTTCAATCTATTAACTATTTAAAACTCAATTAAAGAAAAAATAATCACATTATATTGTACTATAAATTGTTAGTCTGTAATTAAAGATTTTAATTTTTTTATGTAAGTAAAAAATATACATTAAAAAAAAAGAAGATAGAGAAAAATAAAAAAATAAATTCGAGCTAAATAATTATTAAGTTATTTAAAAATATATATTTTAAATTAAAAATTATTATTTATAACAGTTATATAAAAACATGATTAATTTTTTAGTTAATTTAATTAAAAAATATTTAATACTTGTCGAGTTCGTTTCCAGCAAATAGGTAAGTTTTATTATTCAGTGAGTCGTTGAAATAAACAGTACCATCAACGCGGCCGGCGTCTCCTTGCCGCTTCCACCTTAACAAATTGACTTTCATGTACTCATATGTTCCCCATAATTACAGTCGTGCCATCCACAGATTCCCTGAAAAGGGAGGGAGGGGGAGGGAGAAGAAAACCGTCCTTTGCAGCGGCGATGATGTTTCTGGGCTCTGTGGAAACCGCCGAGTAACCATCTGGACAAAACGTTGCAAGCTACTGAAATGGCGGAGAAAGTCTCTGGAACTTCTGAAGCTCTGACGTACTAACCCTAAGCTTTACTCCCCCATCAAGTTTCCTTATGCGTTCTCGAGGCTTCACCCACGTTTCTTCCTTTATTACACGAACGCTGTTGAGTACAGAGTACCTACATTGTTCGCTTCCACGGCAGTCCATTCTCGTTCAGAGGAATCGGTGTTTGTTGTGGGAAGCTTAGTTCGTGTAACGACCGGCTTTGGATTGTGTTGTGATTTTTTGGGGTGTTTAGGGATGGCGGATAATCCGAAGCTTATGTTCATTGTGGTGGTGGACGAAAGTGAGAAGAAGGGGGATGGAAAAGAAGGAGGTTTCAAATATACAAGACCTGTGTTGCAGAGTACTCTGCAGCTTATGGGTTGCAAAGCTCGGCACTCCTTCAAGGTTGATCCTTATTTATCTTTCTTTTGTAATCTCATTCTGTTGTTTATTTGAATGGTTTTTATTGCATGCTCTGTATTTTCTGTATTCTTTTGCGCGGTGGCAATAAGTTTTGTTTTGTCTTGTTTTTTTTTTCATCTATTTCCACCGACTTGAGCGTGGAATTTTGTGTAAATTGCCATGCTGTTTTACTTCTTTTAGCTTTTTTGAATTTAGAATTTCTGTTAGTGTATCACTATGGTTTTTGAATTGATTTTATTTCTGTTCAGGATTATATGTATTTTTTTGGGTTTTGATAATATGTTTTTTTTTTAAATTAACTGTGTTCCTGTTTATATGAATATGGAATTTCATGTGAATTTGTAAGCCTTTTTTTATATCTTTTTAATAGATTTTTTGAACCCGATCTTTTAGCTTGTGAACAATGTAGAGCTGAGTTTGAGATTTCAAATTTGAATCACAGAAACATTGAGGAATGGCTCTGTTTTTACTTTGCAATTTATGGATCCACATGCACTTGCTTTTTTGACTCTCTGATCTTCTTATCTGCGCCCTTATATTCAATACCTGACTAAAAGTTCACATTTTGGTATGTACTTATTGTTTTTGTGCTGCTTGCACGCCAATCAACCAGTTCATGTAAAATAGGGGCATTTCAAACACCCTGCTCACCTCCTGAAGCCCTGTACCACTACGAGAAAGTATTTGGTGCGGAGTTCGAACGTATCAGACTCCAATTAAATGTTGACACGTAGATATTCAATTGGATTTATTTTTTTTTACTTTATATATTTAATGTGTCCGCGGAACTTTAGCCAAGCACATCAAAAGCGCAGGTAAAGCGCAGTCAAAGCGCAATAAAAAAGCGCAACAAAAGAGCAATTAAAAGCACAACAAAAGTGCAACTAAAGCACATGTAAAGAAAAAGTAAAGCGCACAAAAAAAGGTGCAACCAAAGTGTACTCCACATGTCAAAATTTAAGTGGATGTCCGGACATATCTTTATGTCTGGACGTAGCACCTAATAATTTCTCGTACAACTACACCTCTCGTCAAAAAAAAATAAAATTGAAGCATTATTTGGAAAATCATCCCAACATTCCATGAAAATTTAACTTTTTGCACCAAAAGCTTCAGTAAAAATTCTTACATATCAGATAAGTAATCTAAATCTTCCCATCTGCCTATCTTTCTTCCACTATATAACTCTATGATTTTGGTTGCTTGAACTAAATTGAATGCATTTATATTTGTCAGATTAGCAGAAGGGTTTTTGATGTGATGCGAAATAATCGTTCCAATGACGGTTTCACTACTTTTGGGGCTAATATATCATTATCAGATATGCCAGAAATTAGATCTGATAAAGAAAGCAGTCATGAGGTGCTAGACCATAACTCCATTGAAGAGAATGTTGATAAAATAAGTTCAAGACAGTTTGAACTCTACAAAAGACATTCAACTGTTATCGTCACAAGACCAACTTTCTTGAACGTTGTTTGTGATGCACTTTCTGTGTACAAGTATGTGGGTCCCAATCAAATGGCTGATCTGCTTCTGGCATGCAGGTAAAAAATCCTACTATGGAATGTCTCATAATAACCAAGCTGTATTTTATTAACCAACTTTAATAGCTAAATTAATTAAAGGACTGTTGAAATAACATACTTAGGCTTCGTTTAGGACGATTTTCTTATTGCTTCTTAAATCAGTATTTTAGTATAAAAATTTAAATTTTTGTACTAAAAAGCAGCTTTAAGCAGTAAGAAAGCCGTTCCAAACGAAACCTTAATTTAGAACAAATGTTTTACCTCACTTTATTAACTGTATGACATGATGTGCTTCTCCTTCGATGAACTTTTTTTTTTTTGTTTCTTTTTCATGGAGGGCTTATCTATTATATTTTTACTAAATATTTTGTGACCCCAAATAAGAAAACACTTGTGCATCTTTCTCTTGAATTGCCATCTTCTTAGGACATATCCCGTGGATATGTACACTTCATGGTGATTGTAGAAGGCTAGTTTCTTCAAATTCTATGAGTACATTGGTTTCCAACGACTGAGTATTCAATTGATGTTGCAAGTGTGTTAGTTTTTTTGATTGACATTGCAATTTTTTTTGTTAATCTAGTTGGGCCACCTATCATTGTCTGAAAGATATTTATGTCCGTATGTTGACATTAGGTGATGAAATTGTTTAGGTGAAGTAAACAAGATGATTTTTTAACAAGTAAATAATTTGTGGGCAAGGTTCCATGTATTTACAGGGAATTATTGATCTCATGTTTTTGGTTAATTGTTTTCCATTCGCATTTGTAGGATCAATTGTCATTGGTCCAGAGGACTACCTATTTTTTATGCTGCATCAAGGCTTCAATTATGATCTTATTTCAGAGAAAACTAATTGGCATTAAATAATATATTTTCTCATTTTGATTTCTCATTTGTGTACTCTGAGAAGCCTAGTGATATTGTATACATCATAAGATTCCTCTTTGATCCTTTTTCACATTATTTTGAACATGACTATTGCTGTGCTTTTAAAGTTCCTGACATATTTGAACCTTTTTAACTTGATCGCTTAATTCTTCCAGAATTCGGGAGAGAAAGGCATCAGTAACAATTCTTCTGTGTGGTACAAGTGGGTGTGGGAAGTCTACACTATCAGCATTGCTGGTAAATATGTCCTAATCTGTTAGGAAAAGAGTTATTCATGCATTGAATTTTATGGCGATAGTTTGCTTTCATTTTATAATCGAAGATGCAGTTATTATTTGGGTATCATTTTTTTATTTTAGTTGACTGCTTTAGGTCCATCTCAAATCAGTCTTGAATGCATGATGGCCGTATAATTCTCTTTTTCCTTTTGTTTCTGTAATAGTTCCCCTCAAGCCTGCGTCATGAATGATTAAGCTTTGAACACTGGTCCTTACTAGTAATTTGCATACCTTTTACCCATATAAACTTTTCTTGCTATTCTATTTTCTAATCTATCTTCTACTTGTTTTTGTTTAATTCATATTCACCTGGATTCTATGGTGTGCTAAAAAAATATAGATGTTGCTATCATACTTATTGCATGGAATATGATGACTCTGGTATAGCTTAATCAAAAGAATAAATAAGATAAGCACAAAATATTATGAATTATGAGTATTTCTTTGGTTCCATGATATTTGTAGCTAATACTGTTTTTCTCTATATATCCATGCAGATTTAATATAGATGATAAGACTAAGAACATGATATGTACCATGTGTGAATGGCATAAACTCACTTTCCGAGAGGTTGAGAGAGGGAGCTCGTGTATTGAGGTTTGATAACAAGAGTGAGATTAGGAAAGTACCACGCTTGCTTACTTTATGAGGAGATAGAAGGAAGAGCAATAACACGGAAGGGGACCATGGATTTTAACAAGGATTTGGTCAAGAGACCTACGCCGCTTGGCTGAATGTTAGATTGACTTTAATTTGGCCCTTGAGTTGATGCAACTGATTCTATCATCCTCTGTCTACCAACATTTCTCTGAGATGATCCAACATTTGTCGTTGTTTCTTTTGATGGTCTTTGTCCAAGAGTAGGATAATTCTTAGCTATATTTTCAAGTTGATGACACTAGAAGCGAGTATTTATTCCAAAAAGACATTCACCCTTATGATATTTTTACATTTGTTGCAGTTATTCAAACTCCTCTAACTACCACTGCTACTGGGTTTTGCTTTCTTCTAATTAGACTTTCTAGATTGTGAGAATGATCTAGTTTGAGAATCTTGTGAAGCTCCAATACCTTCTACTTTTTTTTTTTCTTAATTTCACGCCTCCCTTGGGTATTTTGATTATCCATCAATTCTTGTAGCTCTCTCCAACAAAATAGAATAATCCTCAATCTTTAGAGGAACAAGATATTGTCTGATCGCATCCTTTAATCTAGATAAAATTCTATAATATTTTTATTTAACAATATGAACTAATTAAGATGCATATCTTGATAAAGTAGCAAATTTAATTTTATAGTGCATTACTAATCTGTCTCCTTGATCGCCTTGGAGAAAGAGGCACAAATGAATTTTTGTACAACTATGTAAATTCATCTCATTTGATTTGGATACTAGGTATCCCTCCAAACTTATTCTGATTCTGCCCCCTCCACCACCTTTGAACTAGCCATCGAGTGCAAATATTGCCAGTAAAACATTTCTTTCTTCTAGGCAGAACATGCCATCTAATATTTTTTCTATCCTTAATAATCAATTTTCTACCTCTATTGATCATTCTATTAGTTTTAAATATTTATCCGTTGAGATGCTTTTACTATTACTTTGTAATCACTGAGATTTCGAATCATGAATTAATTGAGTTATTGTTGTCATCATTTGAGTTAATACATCATAATTAATAGCAAAATTCTCTTCAGGATCATCCTAAGTCTTGAAATAAAGTAAAATATCTAATTAAAATTCTTAATAATATCTTATCAACTTTCTTAGATTTAATAATCAACCTATGACTCTTTCAATACGATTCATATCCTATTTGGCTCTGATACTATTTTATCATGATTTTGCGCGAAAGCTCAAAATTAATGAAGTGGGAGCAGACAGTCAGATGGATAATACAGTTCTTTGAAAAATATTAGCTACTCAGTCTACTAATATCCAAGATACAACTAAAGAGTCACTTAAACAAATATTCAATATAAACATTTCACAAATTAATTTTTACCTATTTCCATTTGATTTTCTTCTATAGACGAACTCTTATCTATCAGCTATTTAATCCACTGGAGAATTGCTTGACATTTTAAATTTAACAATTTGAGTTTTCATAATAAACTCAGTTAACAATTACAATTATAGAATAACAATTAAACTCATTTAACAATTACAATTATAGTATAACAATTAAACCTACATATAAGTAGTCATGTAGATATGTTTATATTGAAATAATAAGTAGAGGGTCTTATTTTCATTATGACATTTCCTCTTGTTCTAATAGTTCCATTATGCTTAAATTGCTTGCTAATAAGACCTCCTTTTACTTTGTTTTAAAGGGAGTGTCTAGTAGTTTTCTTTGCTTGTAATAATTTCCTTTTTTAATTTTAATGCTATATGCATTTTCTCAAAAAAAGTAAAAGTAAATAAAAAAAATGCATAGGGTGACCAGGAGCCAACAAGCCAAAAAAAGGAGAGCCCATGTAACTTCCAGCACTAGCCTCCCTCCAAAAGTCTAAGTAGATACAAACCATAGTATTTTGCTCATCCTATAAAACTAAGAACATTGGAAATAAGTGAAAGTTCGTTAGGGATGTTAGGTCCTATAGAACTAGCCCAAGACTAACCAAGATGAGGGGTGAATTGGTATTTTAAAAAATCTTTAAGCAAAGCACAAATATCACAAACTAAATCACCACAAAAATAAGTGCGGAAGAAAATAAATGC